GATTTGCCGCAGCATCGGCCGAAAGTTCTCGGCCGGCCCGGCCGCGGCCGGGGGCGTCCCGGCCTAGGCCGACCCAGGCCGCAGCCACCGTGCAACATAGCCTGTAGGCCACGTTCTTCTGATTGGGCTTACACGTGTGTGCACAAGGCTTGCCCTTCGGTCCAATAGACAATGACTAAAGACCCCGCACGCCCAACACTAGATCGTTGGATCGCCCAACTCTCTTACTCATCTGCCAACTCCTGCTCATTCGCCGATCCTCTCGACCACGCTTACTCCAAAAAGTCTTAGAGAGAGAATTAATCGCGCTTACGAGATTTATAACATGCATGCTTTGCGCGAGATACTCGGGATTGTGTTCGAGTGGGAGGAAGAAGGAGGAAGGAAGTGCCTACGCCTGCATGGCCAGGCTGCGGCGTGGGGGACGTAGCCACACTCCGCACATCGATCCGGTCATGCAAGCGTTCAAGCCAATAGGATGGGGGAGAGGTATGTGCGCGCAAAAGCGCCCCAAAAGATATCAAGAACGAGAGGATTACAGTTGCAATTACGCCCGCCAAACAAAGATTACAGTTACACACGAGATTAAGGCGCGGGAAAGTCAGAACACAGTTCCTGACGTGGCCGAGCATGCCCAAGAAGGAAGCGCCGCGCAGCAGAAATTGAGATGCGCCCAAATTCCTATTCTAAGTCCTAATTACAAAAAGAAAATCTGAACGAAGCAAATTCTGAGGGCCTGTGGGGGCTCGACATCAGTTGAAAATTCAAAAAGATTTCCCCGCTCGACAATCGCGCCAAAATTCCCATTTCCCACAGTAGAACAAGAAAGAAGCTATGGCAACCATTTATTCGTCGCGCTCGCTGAGGCGTGATCAACTATCAACCGTCGTGGGACCAGACCAGCCTCTAATCGAAAGAGACAAGAAAAAGCAAGGGCATCCATGCAATCGGCCAGGCCATTCCGACTCAGCCAATTTCACTCCTCCCCTCGCCCCTCCACGTTATAGCCTTGCGCAGAAATCCGCGCGGTTGCAGAGAACAGTTCGTCACAGTGCGTCAATCTAACGCCCTGCCAGTGTCCATGCGTGAGGTTGCAATTGAGTTTTGAACCCGCAACCTCATACCACAATGCGCATTTCCAACCGGTGATCTAACCGCTTTCTTTTGGGCGGATGGCACTACACAGTAGCCTGCGTTCCTTGCCTACATGACAGCCTGCATTAAGCCTAAATTAAGTGATAGTGTACACAGATCACATGGCTGCTGCAAGCGGAGTCCCAACCAGTTTCCAACAGATTCTAAGTAGTTTTCTGCTTCACCTCATTCCTCTGTTGACGAAGCCCTTTGTTGACGAAGTTGTTTGTTTGAACAGCCGAAGTTGTTTGTTTGAATTGACGGCAAGCCGTGGGGTCCTCCTACTAAGGATAAGATTTGGCAGGTAGAAGTATCCAGCAGCCTGAGGTGCTTGCCTACATGACAGCCCAATGTGAGAAATACTAATCCACAAAACAATCAAATAATTCAGAAAATGGCAAAAGAAACATGTCAAAGTTACGTAAATCATAAGTGGATTGGAGGTTTTTTAACCAATTGGAAGCACATTGTTCATGTACAAGCGCATTTTCAACACTGTGAAAACTTCACTCTAAGCTTTAGATACATCACAACAAGGTATGCACAGATCCCCTAGCTGCTACTCAGAGACTTGGAAACAGATTGGCTATTCTACTTCACCCCATTCACCTAACTAGCTCCCTAACTAGCTCACAAACGCTTGTTGTCACAGTCTTGGGGTTTGTGAGCTACCGGTAGTTAGGTGAATGGGGTGAAGTACAATAGCCAATGTGTTTACATGAAGGATAAAGGTGCTATCACCTGTACTTAGTCTTCCTGTTCAAGTAGGCACGCCAACCTCCCGTTCCCCAACCTCCACCCTTTACTATTCATGGGTATGCCTGAGTCTCCTGTTCCCTACTACTACTAACTATAGTAGTCATACCGGGGACCCCGTAGTAGCAGCCAGAATGGGTGTTCATGAGAGAACATGCGGGGCTGCTCCCGAACTGCAGGTGGGTGATACCGGCCAGGGGAACAGCCGGTAGCATCAGGGACCATCCCAACAGGACCAATCCCTGTGCCTACCCTTAGGTCCCCTCCCCTACGAACATCAGCAGACTCTACTCAATATGAATCGGGGGATCCAGTGGTCTATCTCTAGGTGGCGTGCGCCAAGCATGCCCAGGAAGGTACATGAGGGCAATGGGGTTTCAACCCATAACCTCCTGAATGCCACTTGTGAGCCCTTGCCAACCGAGGGCATACTCACACTGTCGCGCATTTTCAGAAAATCGTAAATTATACTCACACTGTCGCGCATTATTCAGCTATTTTTCCAGCGCGGAATAATGTACAGAAAAAACTAAAAATTTGAGATCCGGTAGATTGGTCGTGATCTTTCAGAAATATTATCAGGAAAAGAAAATATAGAGTTAGGCAGTGAACTAACCGTTGCACCGATCTGGCACAAATTCCATTTTTGCCACTCTACCGGTTCTCCACAGAGTCCACACTATACACGGTAGCGCGTATGAAATTTTGCTACCGGTCCCCTGCAATTTAGTGGCGGGGGGAGTGGACACTCGTACTGTTGGTTTGCCCGATACAAGTCTAACCCAATTGACCCCCTTTGCGGTTGATGAGTTTCTAATATTTCACACTCCTTGACTTTATCGAGCGTTGTGCCAAGGCCCACGCATCACACATTTTAGGTTTGGTGCTCGTCATCGCGGTCGGCGTTTCTCCATGGTCAAAGGGTCTAATTAGTAATCCTAACCATTCTAGCGCACGTCACGATAACGTGCACGGATACTAATCAAATTTACTTACTCATACGCCTCGCCCTCAATCGTCAAGGAGCCCGTCTCAAGGTGCTGGGAAAAAGCGCGCACAGTCTTCACTTCAAACCGGCTCCATCTTGGTAGTAGATGCCGTTCGCTGTGTCGAATGCAAAAACAAAGGCATACTGGAAATTTTGAACCAGTACCACTGTACCGGTAGGGGCATATTGAACATATTTCAGGCCCAAACGTCGCCAGGGTTTTTCGGAACGTTCAATCATTGTTCGCAGCCAAAGGATGCGTCTTACCCCGTTGCACTTTGTCGTGTAGCGGGCTTTCCTCAAAAAGAATGTCGACGACCTGTTAACGGGTTGTATGGGGCGTCGAGAAGGTGCGTGGTCGGGGGCAGGGCACAGACCGGTAGCCAAAACGGTCGGCGCAGAGGTTGGAGCGCGGGCGGCCAAGGTCAGGTTGCATAGGTCGTTGTTTGGCCGTGGCAGGTGTCGCCCGGCCTTTCCTTTTTTGGGGTGGACGTTTTTTTTTTCTTCGTTTCGGCCTTCGTTTTTGAAGGGGGGGGGGGGGTGTTGTTTTGGGGCAGGCGGGGTCAGTACGTGATAAGTGACGGAAGGGATGGCCAAACGCCCTGGCTCCACCAATGTGCAAAATGTGATGTGAATGAATGAATCTTCCTGCTAGAACATGGAAGTATACACAGCCATAGTTTTTCTCTTTTGTGCATGTGCTGAGTAGTGCAGCAAGGCCCAAAGGTAAGGTTCAGGGCATAGCCTCACCATTCTCGAAAAGTCCACTGCGGTAGATCGATGGTGGTGGAGGCGGGGGGAGTGAGAAAAAGGGCCACCTCGCCTGTCCTGCTCCTCGCTCCAGTTTGGCTGCGCTCGCGCGCCCTGTGCGGTACACAGGCAGAGGGGTGCGACAGTGTGTATCGATCGCCAGAGGGGCATACTGCAATCAAATGAAGTCGGAGGGCTCTTTCAAATATTTTCCCAAAAAAGAACCATGATGGAGGAGCCACTTAGTCGGTACACCCATGAAGTGTTGAAATACAGAGTCAAGTTCGAATCCATCGGATGCCAAAATAACACAACTATGCATTACCTTTACCTGGGGCCGGGGTCAGCTTCACTGATGCATTTTTATTTTTTTCGAGTACACTATGTTTACCTGGGGCCGGGGTCAGCTTCACTGATGCATTTTTTTTTTTTTTTTTTTTTTTTTAACTACACTATGTTCTTCTCTCAAATTCTTCACCGGGCGGCTCCACCCCCCTAGGGGCAACATGAATTACCTGGTTTGCGAGGCCCTATGCTTGCAGGGGTCCCCTCTATATGGTCGTAGGTAGGTAGGTAGTGTGAGGTGAATTTGAGAGAAGAATATAGCTTTACAAGTTCTTCTTGCCTTTCACTACCTTCGTACCACTACTCCCAAGACTATATATAGGCGACCCCTGCAAGCATAGGGCCTCGCAAATGTGATAAATCATGTTGCCCCCGGCCCCAACAGCGGTAGTCAGAGATGGGTTGGGACCACTGGTGGGGTCCGGCTAATGCAAAGATAGAGCATCTTTGCCGGTAGCTGAGCCTCCCTTCTCCCCCACCCATCATTGATTAGCAGCAGAGGCTATGGCCAAGACTCTCCCACACACCACACACAACCCGCTCGTGCTCGCAGGAGTGTTGGTCATAGGCCAATACGGACCAGGGTATCCAGAGGAACTATCACAGTCCATTGGCACTAAGTGCGCCGCAGCCTGCCATGGGGCTTGAACCCACAACGTCCTGAATGCCACTTGAAGTTGCGTGCCTAACCAACTGAGCTGGCCGCCGGATGATACCTCAAGCCTGTACCCCTTTCATAGAGAAAGAAAAGAAAAAGGAGAATCGTGCGCCAATGGTACAGCCACAGATAAATATGGACCAGGGTTCGAAACCATCTGCCCACATGAACAGAGCAAAGGAGGCGGGGAGAAAAAAAAAGCGTTTCCTCTTGTTCGTCTCGTAAGGATGGTTCACGTCGACGCTGCTGGTGATGGAGTCGAAGCAGCCCCCGACAACGTCGCCATGCCCTGTCTCGCCGTGGACGTTGAGATGGAGGGAAGAGCCACGACAACGTACAAAGACCCCTCTGCAGTCTTCGGTTGTTGGATTGGTGAGCGGAATGGATTGGACTGGGTAAGAGATTAGATTGCGGGAAAAGTCGACAGGGTAAGAGCAACAACGAGTCAATGGCGACTACTTGGGCATCTGATCCTCGTACCACCAGGCGGCGTGGTGGTGTTGGTGCTGCTGAGATTGGCACGCGCATCACTGATCTGCCGGAGGCGTTGCTAAGCGAGGTGCTCCGTAGACTGGGTACGGCGAGCGATGTCTGCCGCACCGCTACAGTCTGCTGGTCGTTCGCCTCGGCCGTCCGATCTAATCTGACTTGGGCGCTGCTGCTGCCTCCTGCATATCGTCGCCTTTGCGAGTCGAACCCCCCTTCCTCTTCCTCCTCCTCCTCCTCCTCCTCCCCCTCCCCCCCCGCCCCCTCTTTGAGTTCCCGGGCTTGCTACAGGCATCTCCTTCGTGGCTTTCCTGACAGTAAATGCTGTCACGTGCACTATCGATTGGATAAGTCTTCGGCAGCCTTGCAGACGAGCGTGTCGGCGGGAAAGTTTGTTGATTGGGGTAACAGCTCGCGGTCCTGGAAGATAATTCCCATCGAGGGGAGTGTATTTACGGAGGGCATGGAACTGCTGAGCGTGTGGTGGTTCGAAATCACGGGCACGGCAATGTGCTCTTTGCCACCGGGAAGGTACAGGTGTGCATGGAGACTGTCTCGGTCCCGGGATGGTCGTTACCGCTTCCGGATCGAACCGGGGCCACAGTGTCCATCGAGGGAGGGCCCGTTATCCAGAGCTACATAAGGACAGGAAGAGGTGACATCGCGCGTTACCCAAAGTGGTCGGAGTTGCGAGTGGGAACCATAGAAGTCGTCCCCGAGGAGGACGAGAAAGAGGACAACGAACTGTTGTCGGTAGCAATCAAGTTTCGATTATGCAATATTTCCGTGTGAGGGTGGACATATGGCGTGATTGTGGACGGATTGGTGATACGACCTGCAGTGATTGCAGATCGCACAGAGGGGAGCAATGAAGAGGAAGACCGCAAAGAGGATGATAGCGTGCCAGAGCTCTTCACCGTAGAGAGGAGGGGGTGGAAGCGACGAGGAGGGCAGATGCCGTTTAAGAGACCTATCCGAACTCTTCAGTTGTTCAAGTAGTCAGATGTTGATAAAGTGAGAGAGGCAACGCTGGAGTAGGAGAGGGACGATACAGTGAAGTACGCTCGACCCCAACTGGTGGTGGTGGTCCCCACTTCTACGAGGTGTACAGTAGGAGTGCGGGTGTCATTCTTTTGCACGGTCGTTATTTATTATTCGTGATGGAGCAATGAAAGGTAATATGAGATTTTGGACAGGAGGGCTGAAGAGGAAAACACGGGCAGGGGCCTGATACCCTCGGATAGCGAGACCGGTAGGGGGGCCTGTCTGTGCAAGAGGAGGAAGGTCGCACACCGATTTCTGTTGAGTGGTCAATTTGATTTGCACGTGGTCGCAACTGAGTGCTCGGTTGTTGCTAACAGGAAGGGAGCAACTCCCCATCAGCAGGCAGGAGCGTCTCAGAAAGGACAAACAGTCCTATTACCCAGGAGCGACCTCTGGGGCAAACAGATGCAGCAATGAACTGAAGTTTTGGGAAAGGAAAACGAAAGGTGGACGGATAAGGGAGGAAGATGGGAGGGAGGGATATTGTGTGCATGTCTGTGTTTGTGTGTGTGCGGGGTGTCCCTGTGCGTGTGTGTGCGCGTGTCCGTGT